CGGTGTGGTGTGAGCTGGCAGATTGAGTTGTACAAAGAGGGATATATACGAGGAAAAAAACTTTTCCCTCGGAGAAAAGCTGGCCTCAGCCGCCCAAGGGGCTCAGGCCTGACCCTCCTCCCCCTACCTAGTCAGTCAAACCGCTACGGATTACACGTGGGGACTTTGTAGCAATAGGCATTTCTCCCTCAGTAATTTCCACATCTCTTCATTATACTAACCAAGGCCCCAGCGCAGGATGAAAGCGAAACTTACCCGGCCGGTCTGTCTCAAATCGCAGAGGGCCTTACTTCCTTCACATTTTACAGGAGCAAAAGTTCAAATACAGTTTACATACCAGTGCGAAAGACTAAGGTGTCCAGTCATCACTAACTTACTGCAGCCTAACTTTAACCAGAAAATACTCTGGGTTTTTGGTTTTGTTTTTGGTTTTGTTTCCCCCCCCCCCCCGAACTAGACGTGCCTCTGCTTCCAAAGGACTGACTGCAGACCTTTCCCATGTTCACAACCTCTCCTTGCATTTCTTCCTAAAAGTGCCATCCTAAATCGGCAAATTAGATGATGGACGAAGTTTTGATCCCACTTTGAAATCACACTAGTTGTACAACTAGACAGACGAATTAAGACAGTTTGTGCAGTTCTACTAACCTTCCTGGTTTAATATCCTCAGCAATGGAAGGAGATGAACTACACTAGATTGCGATTGAATTTAGACAGCCCTTTAAAAATAAATGGCTATATGCTTTTGTGTGTGTATTCTTGTATATCAGCGCACATACATGCTTATGAATGCACTACATGTATTTATTTTTAAAGTAGACGATAATTTAGAAATGTGATCTATTATGAGTTTTACAACAAAAATATCAGCTATTTTACAAGCTCATCAACTCTCATTCAAATGGCTCCTCTGAGGGGAAAAATACACTCTCGCTCTTCCATTATTTAAATGCAGTTGCTACCATGTATATGTATGTTTTAACGATGCAGAGAGTAGAAAGTAAAGGCAATTAGCAGCCCGAGCCTCCCGAGTCTGGAAACAGATTCAAGATCTAGGTCTCTGAAGATAAAGGGATCTCGAGTGGCTTTTTTTTGTCCTGTAGTTGCCAATAATTTTATTAGATGGGGGAAGTAAGGAGCTTTTTTGTTTTGTTTTACTTTTTTTTTTTTTTTTTTTTTTTTTTCCCCTAAAAAAGGGAGCCCCCTGTGCAAGGAACTGGGGAAAGTTCGTGACCACTCAGTGTTTTTGTAGGAAAACTAAGACTCACGACACGACGACTCCTGCAGCTTCCTGCCCTAGGAGGGACAAAAGCTACAAATGCAGCGCCGCAGAGCTCCCCTCATTTTTCACTGTAGACTGTGTTGTTTAAAAGCCACCCACTCCCTAGATTAAAGGAGACACAAGCCCCGCTGAACTCAATATGGCCTGCTTCAGTTATTAGCAAAAAGAATTTCCTCTCCAGTTAAATACTGTAGGATTTGCATAAACTATATTAAGAGAGATTTCTATATTAAGCAGACCTGCCCTCGAACCATCAGAGGCAAATGAACTTTTAGCAGAGAGTTTTCTGAGACAGAAACAGATATCTAGGAGTTAAATGCGGGGTTTTAATACAGCCATTCTACAATGCTGTGTTTCCCACGTTGTGCTACTAAAACTAATAATGAAGTAGTAATAAGGTAAACTGCTCCTTACCAAATCTAAACTGTATTGTTGAAAAATCACAGAAACAGAAAAGAATTCAAAGCCTGTTTTTTACAGTAATTTCTAGAGCGCTTGCTGAAACCGAACTTTCTCAAAGATCAGCGTTAACAGCGTTTTTCTGCCTTTAGAAAGAAAATCGTAACAGCCTTTGGCATTCTGTATCCATTCCCAGTCTGCTCGGCTTTACTTTCTTATCCCGTGGCATTTGCAACAAAAAAGAAAGCACAGAGCTGGATTTTTTTTTGCTCAGATTTAATTCTAGAAAACCTCTTCCTTTGACTCCCTCTTTACCATGATGTGTATTTGCAGGTGTGTGTGTGTTTGGGTACACGTGTACGTGTGTATTTGTGGCAGGAGAACACAGGATCTAAGCCTTGGAGTGCAATAGATACAGGAGGGGAGCGGTGCCCAGCGCAGATTAAGGGAGTTCTCGTTGCCGAAACGATAACTTCCATCTGACACAATAAGAGTGTCACTCTTTCTCACCTTGCAGAGAGCGCTGCCTATTTCTGATCATGACATAAAATACTCGCTGGAGTCTGGGCGTTCTCGAAACACTGAGCTCCTTGCTGCATGTGCTGTAGATGTCACTGCTGTCTGATTGTGCTTGAATTAACACACTGTTTTGACTTCTGGAAAATGCCTGAAGGACAATGCAAAAAGCTTTTGTGAATTTGTTTTTAAAGAAAGAAATCCGGTTTCTTCGTGTTTCCATTTAGAAGGCAGAGAGTGTGTGAACTGTGGAGCAACTGCTACCCCTCTCTGGAGAAGAGACGGCACCGGGCATTACCTGTGTAACGCCTGCGGGCTCTACCACAAAATGAATGGTCAAAACCGACCTCTCATTAAACCTAAACGAAGGCTGGTAGGTGTCTCTGTTTCTCCTGGGTTTGGGGATAAATTAGGCAAAGGGACCACACGCAGGCAGAAGTCAAACACGTCTCATCTCTGCTCAGCTCCTGCGTGGAGCCGAGCTGTACTGTACATGGGGGTCAGTCATGTCGAGGTCACTGCTGTGCCTCGGGGCAGATCTCCCCCCCTCCACCCCCAGCCCCGGCATCCCCGGCACAGACCACCACGCCACTGCAGCCCGCCGAGTGCGCCTCTGTCCCGAGCCTCCCTGCCGCTCACAATGCATGCGGGATATCGTGTATCCGTCTCCCCGTTTATCCTCAGATGACAGCTTTTAATTTAATTCCTCATTTATTTGGCCTCTTGGGACATTTTGGGCGCATACTGGGAGCGAAAGGGTTATAAGCGTGAATTATTTTTCCATGGAGTCACCTATACTTTGTATTTTCATTTGAGTGATTTAAAAAAAAAAAAAGTCCTTTCTAAGCTCCTGGTAGTAGTTTCCTATCCGGATATCTGTACGTTAAAGATAAGGAAACTTTGTGTATCTGTTTCCTGACTCTAAAAGCTTTAGAGAGTTTCTATAGGCAAGTCTTGCCAGTCATGCTTGCTGTTTTGAAATTTCTAATACACTCTAGTCCACAAATAATGCGTAAAATGCTAAGAATAATAAATATATTTTTTGGAGCTTCGTGATTTATGGTGCCTAAGTCTCTTAGCTGTTTGTGGGCGCTTTTCAATGAGGTTTGGAAAGCAGAAAATTGGCATTACTGCTCTAACACTGGGATGGGATACAGAGTGAGTCAGAATTTCAACTATGCAAGCTTCTTAATGACTTGCCTTCTAAAGTGACTGACATATAGAAAAATGTTAAGACAACAGTGTAACATTATCGTCTCTCAGGCTCAAGTGCTTTCCAGTCTGAATGGGACAGGCCACAGAGTTAAGCAGCATAGTTGAATATCAGTAAGCCATCTCAAATATGCAAACATAGGTCTCCACCTTCCAGTGTGTTGGGAGACTGTTATACTTAGCTCACTGCGAGGGGTTTGGGGGGCACTAGAGAGGTTTTCTTTTACTGTACTTGTTTTAATGTTTTGTTTTGTTTTAATTGATTTACAGCTTTGTTTATTGCCCCTTTTTCCACTGTAGTTTGCTTGTTTGCGGGGGAGAGGAGATGGCCATCTTTGGGAATTTGTTCATCTGACATGCAATAGCAAAGTGATCATATTAATAATGTCAGTGTTTGGACGTCTGGCATTAATTGTGTTTGGGTTGCATGAGTGTACTTGCAGTAGGGGGTACCCCCTCTTTCTGCCTTTGGCCTGTTCTCACAGGCAAGTAAGGGACTGAAATATATGAGTCTCTGAGGGCCTGATTCTTGCCTTAAGCTGCTGAGCCATCCATCAGCTTTGGGAAAGTTACAGAGGGCCATGGTGTAAATCAGGAGCAAGTGAGAACAGAACCCGGTCCTCCTCTTTTGTGAGCTGGGTCGGTCTGTGCTTCCAGCGGTGCCAGCTCCCCAGTGGAGCCAGCAGGCAGGCAAGCGCCCAAAGTTTCTTGTCCTGGAAGCCCAGGGCTCTGGGGCTCTGCTCACAGAGATGCCCTGCACCTTAACGTGAACTTCGTTAATGTGAGCTTTGCTGCTGCTTCACCCTATAGCTCTCAGTGGCTAATTGCAAAAATATCCAGGGAGCAAGGCCCCAGGGAAATTACCACGATTGCTATGCATTAGAAAGTAAACTCTGCTAATTTAAGAAAAGAAAATATTGAGTCCTCAGCAGTAATCCAATTGCACAAAACGGACTGTATTTTGACCGCTTCCAGAGGCAGGGCTGAAACTTTCTAAGACAAAATTATTTCCCAAAATATGAGGTGCAATTAGTCCGTCCATAACACTTCATACGATACCATGCTTGCACAAAGAACGTATTATTGTGGGGTCTGCTAGACAAGGGCCCATCCAGAAATTACTGGCTGCCTGCTCTTCTACTTTTCCTGTTCTTGTTTTGGGAGGTGGGTGAACATTTGGGCATTTTTCTTTCCCCCCACCTAGGTTTCAGCAGAACAATAGTTTTAGGAAAGGGTGGTGGATTTTTTGTGGGTGGTTTTTTCTTTTAAGATAGTTGTTTGAGGGCTTGTCAGCCAAGGAACTGAGTAGGGACAGAGGCAGCAGACGGGTCAGCGGAATCATTGCTGCAAGGCATGAAATTTGCTTTGCTAAATATTTAAAGAAAGTTGGAGCCGGTTTTGTTTTCTCCCTTTCACTTGTAAATGGAAACTGAATTTTCAGTGATGGCTCTGATAAATACTGCACCCAGTTAAGTAATGCGGTTGGTTTTCTTTTGTGTCCATCTTTTAAGGGCGAGAGTAGGGGTAAAAATCACATTCTTTAAGATCATTCCCTCTTTTCAAACCCAGTCCCGACATTGGCATAAACTAAATCAGTCATTAAAAAAATTTTCATGACCCTTTCTAGAATCCTGCAAAGGGAAAACCTGAACAAATCCAATGATGTTTCCCTCTCTAAAATTTTTGTTTGTGGAGTCAGAGATGCATTGTTTCTCTCCTTACTTCCCCTACCCACACGGTGCCATGGGGCTTGAAGCTGCAGTCTGCATAGGAGAATACTTGAATTTAAACAAAAACTTAATGGCCACAAAATGTAAAACTGACAGTAGCTTTCCTTCAGCCCTGATGATCTGTAAAATCTTAGTAACTTGTTCTACCCAACCTAAATATTGAGTCCAGCTTGACCTTTCTCATGATCTCCCTCCTCCTGCTGATACATTTTTAATTTTCTTTTTCTTTTGGTTAGTCAGCGGCTAGGAGAGCGGGGACTTGTTGTGCCAACTGTCAGACGACCACCACAACCTTATGGCGACGTAATGCAAACGGGGACCCAGTTTGTAATGCCTGCGGACTCTACTATAAATTGCACAATGTGAGTATTTACTCATCTCATGTGTCGCTGCTTGCCTAGCTAGGATTGATGTCTTAACTGCATGGTGTACACTAGGCTTTTATTGGTTTCAGGGTTTTGGTTGTTGTTTTATTCCTTCCCCCCCGTCTCTAAGGTTCCCCTGGGAAGTGACAGCCATTCTTTGTCAGCATAGTGATGCTAAGTTCAGTGACATTACAATGTATTAGCTTGGCTTCTAACGCTTGGGCAAATCAGGCAAAATAGAGCTACCACACTTGGTTTTAACTAAGTGTGTTTTGTGTGCTGTTTCCCTCCAGAAACACAGAGACCATTTGGAATGGGCTTTGTGCAAAAATTAATCCTGATGGGGTATCTTCATTTTGATTTTTATTTTTTTTAAAAAAAATAAGTATATCTAAGGCTTTGTTTTATTATATATATATTTTTTAAAGAAGTTGATCCTAAGCAGGAATCCCTTGACATGTTGGAACGTTATTTAAACTGTAAGTAACAGAGGTTACTGGTACAAGATTGCTTATGTCTTAGGACTGAATTTGGGTCAGCGTGTGTCTCCTAGTTTGATCTCTTCTATTAGGAAATGAATGAGGACTGAGGGTAAGCCTACGGGAAAGAGAGTCATCAGCTGCCAAATTCAGTTCAATTTGTTTTTCATGTCTAGGGTTTTTTTGTGTGTGTGGTTTTATTAAACAAATCAATATAAACAAGTTCTGCAGAGAGAAACACCATTTTTTTTGGCCAGAAAAAGGTCTCCATCCAGGAAAAACACATGGGGGCTGTCCAAATATTTTCATTTTTGCACAATAAGGTCATTTTGTCTGCATGAGCCTGATTTTCTCATTTCTTGCAGGTGAACAGGCCTCTGACCATGAAAAAGGAAGGAATCCAGACCAGGAATAGGAAAATGTCCAACAAATCAAAGAAAAGCAAGAAAGGCTCTGAGTGTTTTGAGGAACTGTCCAAGTGCATGCAGGAGAAATCGTCTCCCTTCAGCGCTGCTGCCCTTGCTAGTCACATGGCGCCCATGGGGCATTTGCCACCTTTCAGCCACTCTGGACACATCCTACCGACACCTACTCCCATCCACCCATCTTCCAGCATCTCATTTGGACATCCACACCCATCCAGCATGGTTACAGCCATGGGATAAAACCGAATGACCGAGAGATCTACCCAGAGATTAAGAACATGGGGCTTTGCCTAGGATGACACCAAGTAAGAAAATGTTCTGCCAAGAGGAGAATGTAGGGATGGCAAAAGGGGATCTTTGCTCCCATGTGGTTTAACTCTTAATGCTGGACTAAAACCTTGCAAATGATGGGTCTTCTGCAGAAACGTGTAGTGGTGCCTGTAATGCACTTTGCCCCCTCAGGTATAAAGAAAAAGAACTTGCCTGTTCGATACTTAATGGTCCAGCAGGAAGCAAAAGGTGGCAGAAGCTGAGGAAAAGGCTTGGAACTGGCTTTCCTTTCTCTCTTTGTTATTACTGTGAATATTGTAAAGAGATATAAGCAGCCTCCCAGGATGGAATCGGCTCACTGGAAGCCAGACATTCTGGATTTCTATTGCGGACTTTGTTTGGGATGGGGAAAAAAAGAAGAAAGAAAAAGAAAAAAGAAAAAAAAAAAGGACATCTTTATAAAAACGTCATTTTTAAAATTAAATCAGACAAAGTCATATTTATTTTGCTCTTGTTTTCCACAAAAAGCCTCAACCCCTCTGATTGCATGTTTTTGTGCTGTTGTTTGCAATGGCTACCCTGTAAGAAAACCTGCCTTCAAAACAAGGGGGAGAGGGGGGAACATATTTAGTAGCCCCCTTGCATTAGCTCCCTCTATCTTCCATACCAAAATAATCTACTAGGAAGGGGGAAAAGCTTGGGGGAGGAACAAAGCGAAAATGTAGCCGTAATACAGGATTTTAATGTGCCCAAGATGGCGATTATTTTGACACAATTTCTTCATTCTTTTCCCTTACATGAAAGATTTATTGTAAAAAAACAGCCCCCCTCCCAACTACCCTATTATTCCTCAAAACAGACAGCTAGATCAGACAAACCGTTGGGAAAAAACTCACAGGAAAGCAATCCTGCACTAGCAAGGGGTGAGATACAGGCATTTACCAAACTGTGTTGCAGCTTGCTTCTAGCACAGCAAAAACCATCACAGGGCATAAAAACATCCAACTTGCAGACTTTAGAGGTTGAAGCATTTTGTTCTGTTGTGTTGGCAGCTGTCGCTTAAAAATGCAGATTAGCTGCTTGGGTAAACTTACGGCAGTGTGGCCACCACGTCCACATGCAGCCAGCCAGCGCATGTGCTGTCTCAGGCATCCAGGCCCCGGTGGACTTTCACAGGGAGGAAGGGCAGAAATGAGGTTGAGATCACTGGAGAGGGGAAAGAGAGAGACAATCAGTTTGAGCTTCACACATCCGTCAAATCCCAGACACAGCGACAGCTGATGAGACGAGGGAAAGCATCGTTCTAAGAGGAACGTCTGTTTTCCATAGCGTATTTTAGATGGAAAAAAAAAAAAAAGAAAAAGAAAAAAATTTAAATCTAAATCTCCCATTATTAAACCATATTGTACGTAAATGACCGAGAACAAAGCTATTGCCAATGTGAAGTGTATTCTATTGATTGTTATGGTCTGATGCCTCTTGTGAACACAAGCTCCAGTATAACATACAATGTACATATTTAGCTATACTTCTGATGAAAATGCCCCAATGAACAGAGGGGTTTGATAATGTAAACCACATAAGCTTAACTCTGTGACAAGCTTTTTATTTTATTTTTTTTAATTTTTAACTTCTTTGTTGTTGGGGTTTTGTTTGTTTGGTTTTTTTTTTGATCAAGCCAATTGTATCTTTACTGCAAAAGTCCTGCTTTAAAGAAAAAAAAACACGAACGAAACAAATAAAAATGGATGTATGTTAAATTGTTTTTCTAAACATGTAATTCAAATATTTGATAATGAATTAAGAACCAAGTAAGCAGCCATAAAAATCCTGCTTTCCTCCTTTTTCTGGTCTGCATAGGCATATAGGTGCACTTTGTAAAGAAGTGGAAATAAACAGGAAACTAAATTGGTTGGGGGAAATCATAAGAATTTTTAATCTACTGAGGTAAAAAATTGGGTCCTTTTTACCTTTTGCAATGGTACAGTTGTACATTATTTCTACCCAACTCAAATTTCTGTAGGATTTGGGCAGGGGAGCGGGGAAGGGATGTGGGTGGAAAACAGGGATTACTGATACAGTTGACAAAGTGCAATATATTGTCAGTCACTGCAGCATAGACAACGGCAGTTGAGATTTAAATTATTTTGTACTTGTATCAGCATAAAAAAATTCTTCAGTATTTTCTGTTTTTATTTTAATTTTTATTTTGCTTATTTTTGGATTAGTGAACTAAGTTATTGTTAATTATGTACAACATGTTTATATATTGTCTGTAAAAAGTGTATGCTTTCCTCATATTCCTTCAAGGTGAATATTGCTAAGAATAATAAAATACCTTTTTTGTGAAAGTACCTGTGCCCAGCTTCATGTCATAAAGGCTTTTTTAATAGGGAGAGAGGAAAAATTATCATTATTGTTGCCAGTAGAATTATTAGCTTAAATTTTATGCAGAGTGGTCTATTGATATTTCAAAAACCAACCAGGGTAGGACCAAAAAAAGTGGTTGGTGAATGATTTAGTATAAAAAGAACAGGTACAAAAGCTTATTCTCCGGTGTTGTTTTGGGGTTACAAGGTCATGCAGTTAAGTGCGCTAAAGTTTCTAAACCAGTTTAAAATCTAAGGTGGCAGCCACATTGCAGATGATGAACTGTAGTTTCTCTGGGAAGTTTTTTCGTCATTTTTTGGGTTGTTTTTTAAAGTGTTTGGAGAAATACTTTGCAATTAAAAACAACTTTTAAAAGCACCATAAACGCAGTAAAGCAGCCCGCTGCCTAATGGGTTTCAAGGCAGGACCTGTATTGGACGGGGCAAAGTTCTCCATAGGTTCTTGCACTGCTGTAACAGGCACCACCGCCAACCTGGAAACCTGTTTCTTACCATTTGGCATTATCAGTGGGGTGAAGGGAGCAAGGAGGGGATGGCCAGCCCGGAGCTGCTCAGTGCTGTCCTGGGAACAAGGGGTGCAGCTGTGGTTGCAGCGGGGTGCACACATGGGCTGGCATGTGAGGATGGAGGAGAGTGCTTACCAGGCAGCTCTCCCATGGCCAAAACGTTGTGGCTGCTTGCATCACAGAGTCAAGTCTGATCCACACAAGGAACCTCTTGGGGTCTTACAAAGTGAAGCAAAGTCCCCCCTGCCATGTGTAGGGGTGAGTGCTGCTGCTACAAAAACAATATTCTCAAGAAAACTGCTAATGAACTTTGGGTTTCCTCCTTTGACCCCTGGGAGTTGTGTCTTATTTCTGTGGAAACCAACTTGGGGATAACTCCTTACTCATTAAGAAAAAAAATAACCTGAGTTCCTTTTTCAGCGTGTGTGTGCAAATTCCAGCCCTTTCTACCACTGCTTCTCTTTAACCGTGCAGCCTCCTCCCCAGTCCTGTTTGCAAGCCTTGCTTGCAAATGACAAGGAGTCGCAGCGGTCCTACATATGCTGAAGAAAGCACACGCAACTGAGACAAGGCCTTCCTACATAATTTCAGATGAGTTAATCATCTCTCTAACTTGTTTAGCAAGGCTTAGTGCAAACACCCATTAAAAAAAAAAAAAAGGCAGTTTATAGCACACCGTGCAAGCTTCATTTAAAAAGAAACATGTTCGTTTTCAGATAGGTTTAAAACGGGGTTATAACTAAACTCAGCCACTCTCCCTTCATATTTGAACAGTTAAGACAAGGAGAGAACAGGAGGACTAACAACATCTCTTTAAAATAATTTAGAATAATCAAGCTATTTGTGTTGGTTGCACATTACTCACCTGTTCAGGCTTTGATGAGGGCTTACCTTGGTGCTGCCTCTCTGCAGGCATTTTGCCGGGTCAGTCAGATCCGCTCGCAGAATCAGGGCCATAATCCATCAACTTGTCGGGAGGGGTGCTGCAGCCCCCCAGCGCCCAGAGGAGCGTGCCTCTTCTGAGTGGGGTCTTCAGCAGTTTCTGCAACACAGATAATAAATAATCCCATGTTTGTCAGGTGGCACTAATCTGTGAAAGATCAAACCATCTCTCTGTAAGGTGTGTATCATGTTTGTCTCCAGACATTTTGCATAGCAGAAGAAAAAACAAACAGCAGGGAATGGAAATGGAGCAAATGTGTAAAGTTCAACGTAAAGTGTAAGCACAGAGCAGATATCGAGGCAACAAATTGGGATTTACGGTCCTTTCACTACCACCAAACACTGAGGGACGGGCTTTTTGTGAGGGGGGGAACCCTGACATTACTTGCCTTTGGTTCCCGTTGTTGGGATTATTGTTTTAAGCCATGCTTAATTGTCATGTCTCCACGGCCACATCAAAAGCCAAGAAGATTAGGTTACAGGGAGTGTTTGATGTCAAAATACAAAATAAATAAAAGGGAAGCTGAAAAGGTACTGTATGAAAAGGTACTGTATTTTCCATGATGCTTAGTGAGGTTTTTGCCTCAAACATTTTTTTTTTTAAATTTTGCAAAGGTTGCACTTTTAGTGGCAAGATTTCATTTACTTACTTCCAAATGACTCCACCGCTTTCCTGCAACAGCTCAAAAGGGTTAATATCCCTTCTTTGATGGCAAACATGGTATAATTAACGCAAACTTCTTAAGTATCCTGGTGACCTGTAGATGGCCACATGAGAATTTTGTTATTTACTGACTTGCCAAACGTTTATTGCTTATAGCAGGACAAGTGGGAAGCAGGCATTAATTTTGATGCTGTTATCTGTGATTGCGTGTAAAGTTCATAGCAGAGAGTGCCTATATGTCAACTGCAATTAAACATTTCCCGATTTTTTCTAATGAATTTCACGCTGGTGGAGGGGGTTGGACTGGCAGCTTTGCAAACTGAAATCCTGCCCATCCACAGAGCAGGCATGACATAGCCAGACACAGGACAACTTCCCCTTACCTGCAGGCTGCAAAAGAAAACAGTCTGGCGCCATGGAGCATTTGATCCTTGGCTTCTCCACAGAGACAGTCAAATCAGTACCAACTGTGGCAGGGCACAGAGAGAGATTTTGTGGTGTGACATCTCCCTTGGAAACCAGCCTGAAAAACACCAAAAATTAAGCCAAAAATGACTATCAGGTGAATATATTAATTTATCACCAACCTGGACTGGATTAGAATGCATGACCTAGAAGTAAAATGCTTTGTTTAGCCCAACTCCCTGGGCCATCTGGTCCTTGCAAGTAAACATTTCTAAGTGAGATTAACTGACTGTTCTTTAAGCATGGTGATATGAGTGCAATCCAGGCTGCTCTGGATCTAACAGATCAAACCCCAGCATCAGCAGCCGGCTGGTGCCGATTCAAAGACACCATTTGCTTGAACAGCTTTGGGTGCAATTCTCCATGGTGCCGGCTTTGCAGTCAATCCTGATTCAGGCTGATGTGTCCCTCTCAGATCCAGAGTTTGTCCTAAATCCAGGGCTCAGATTGCACCAAGGTGCTGCTGGGAGGTTGAAGGCCACATCAGAGGAAACTTACGGAAGGGACTGCAGTTAAGAATTACACTGCATTTGCAATAAGAACTAAGTTGCATT